TTTTAACCAAATTGGTTACAATGAACGTCTGTCATTAGCTGTAGTCAATAAGCTACCATCTCTGTTCTTTTAGAACAGTGCTTCTGTCAGAGGCACTAAACCTTGAACACCAACTCAAAAGGACAGGTTGGTTGCTGTCAAATTTCCAAGTAGAAGAACTTTCTCCTATATCCATTTCAGAACACATGATAATGTGGTATAAAGTGTGGCATAAACATTTGGAAAATTGTTCATGATTCACTTGTGCCTGTGCCACACGTGGATTTGCAATACCATTGTCCAAAATTATGCAAAAATCTTACCACACAATTAAGCATTTAAACTAATGAAACAAGATTTCCTTGATGGCAACTCATCGCAGAGGACTACATTTTCTTTCCCTTTGTCATCCATCTCTTTCTTCATCTCCTCCTTGTTTGTGTGATTCACACGTCACTTTTCTCATTCAAATTAGAATAATCTTTAGATGGAAACTTCACCTGTTATATATCTTAAATTCCCTGCATGTTATGTCACAGACTTGTATATATGTTTATAAGTAAATAAAAGATGGTGCTAGCAACAATCCAAACACCATACATAATTTATACTGCAATGAGGAATAGTAAATGGAAGCTCCTTCATTTCTGCCACACGCATTACAGTCTTTCTGCAAACCTTTCTCTCTTTGCCTAGTCATGCTGTTATGGCTAAATTAAGCTTCAAAAAAAAAAAAAACCCTCAAGAAACTGCCTGAAGAGGAAAATATTGTCAGGTGTATTTTAAGTTTGTAATGTTTTGTTTCTGTGCTCTGAACTTTGTGAGAAACTGCCTGAAGAGGAAAATATTGTCAGGTGTATTTTAAGTTTGTAATGTTTTGTTTCTGTGCTCTGAACTTTGTGAGAAACTGCCTGAAGAGGAAAATATTGTCAGGTGTATTTTAAGTTTGTAATGTTTTGTTTCTGTGCTCTGAACTTTGTGAGAAACTGCCTGAAGAGGAAAATATTGTCAGGTGTATTTTAAGTTTGTAATGTTTTGTTTCTGTGCTCTGAACTTTGTGAGAAACTGCCTGAAGAGGAAAATATTGTCAGGTGTATTTTAAGTTTGTAATGTTTTGTTTCTGTGCTCTGAACTTTGTGAGAAACTGCCTGAAGAGGAAAATATTGTCAGGTGTATTTTAAGTTTGTAATGTTTTGTTTCTGTGCTCTGAACTTTGTGAGAAACTGCCTGAAGAGGAAAATATTGTCAGGTGTATTTTAAGTTTGTAATGTTTTGTTTCTGTGCTCTGAACTTTGTGAGAAACTGCCTGAAGAGGAAAATATTGTCAGGTGTATTTTAAGTTTGTAATGTTTTGTTTCTGTGCTCTGAACTTTGTGAGAAACTGCCTGAAGAGGAAAATATTGTCAGGTGTATTTTAAGTTTGTAATGTTTTGTTTCTGTGCTCTGAACTTTGTGAGAAACTGCCTGAAGAGGAAAATATTGTCAGGTGTATTTTAAGTTTGTAATGTTTTGTTTCTGTGCTCTGAACTTTGTGAGAAACTGCCTGAAGAGGAAAATATTGTCAGGTGTATTTTAAGTTTGTAATGTTTTGTTTCTGTGCTCTGAACTCCAACAGGACAGGTCATACTTCCCTCCCTCTCCTTGTGAGAATTAGAAATTAACAAGGATGGGAGCCAGGCCGGCGGGGGGTGGAGGGGGTCTGGCAGGGTGCTCGGCCACGTAGGGGTGATTTTGGCTGGATGTCAGAAAAGCGCAGGTGAATGCGGTGATGCCTGTAGCTGAGTGCTGCGATGTTCAGGAATTTGGTCCCAGGAGGAACCTAGGAGCGGTCGAAAGGCGTTATTTTAGGTTGTAGTAATTCACTGGTTGATGTTTTAATGTTCTCCAAGAAAA